GGATACAGATTTGAAGATAGCCAGTGATAGGAACTGACTGCAAAAACACAACTTATCAATACCAACTAGCTAGCAAGATGTTAGTAACTAAGCGCGTATAACACAGAGCTCTTACCCAATAGGCGTCCCAATGGGAGAGAGAAGAGAGGTCCAGCCCATCGACTGATCCCAGACATTCCGATGGAGGTCTTCCCCCAACACCCATTTTTTATACTTAAAGCCATTTTTTATACTTTCAGGTGGAGCTCGAGTGACTCTAGTCAACTGTATCTTTGTCAGGATTGCTGTAAATTTTCCTCGCTTTGATTCAAAGGCATAGACAAGCAGAAATTCAGGGTGCATGCTCAGTGAGGGGCGGTCGCAGCCCGGAGGTGGGTAGCTTTTGGGATGGAGGTGTGTTTTGGTATTATGATGATATTATAATGAGCAAAGTTCATCTAAAGGACAAGAATATTGCAACTTGTTAAACATTAACATGGCCAAATTGCCCAGGTAAATGCCTGGCTAGGTCTTGGCATCCTAACTCTGTTCACCACCTTGTTGAGGCAACAGTTGCGATCTGTCTTTTTTGACAGCCGTGCAGTTCCTTTTGCCAACCATTCTCTATCCCTCAACCAGGGATGAGCTGTGGTACCCTAGTACTACTCTGCTCCCCATTTCAAGGATACTGTACGTTCTGTTCGGCCAGGGCAGGCCTTGTCCATGTCAACCACATTCCTGGGAACAGCAACTGTGTCTCGCCTCAAAGCTGCTTTAATATTACAGCTTGTGAGCTGAACTTTGCAGAGCAGTGTTCTTCCATTCCCCCCATCTTGGTTATTTTTCCACAAAGGGTCCACTACAAACCATACTTCTGCTGCCGTTATAGGCAAACCATCTGCAGTCACCAAATACTTAATCTGAATAACGCAAAACAGCTTAGGGAATGTGCTGCCACAGGATTTCTTAGCAGTCAGTAACTCCATGTGGTTCTACAAAGAGAGTATATACAGGAAGAACAGGAATATCTAGTAAGAGTAAATGTTGGGAAAGAATTTGAGATTTCTTAGCTCAAGGCATGAGCAAAGATTATGGTAGAGCAATAGTAGAAACTATCCCTGTGGGCAAGGACACCTTCCGTAGGGTTTCTGTGTGTCTGGAATGATCTGAAGAGATCTAGAGACAGGCCATGGGGCAAGGACACAGCCTGCTGGACTCCATCGATGGCAATCTCCTCCCCACCCTGTGTTCTCCAGAGGCAGCTACACCTGAACTCACCTGCCTTGCCTGGAGGTGACGAAGACAGATGAAAAGCAAAGGACAGCAAGTGAGTACAGATCCTAAGTAGCATTATCCCTAAGAGAAGGGATGAGAGTTGTGTTTGGCTGAGCTCAACCAAGTCTCCCAAAGTACAGAATCAAGAGCAGGAGACACTGAAGGAACCCAAAAAAGCCAAGAGAAAGTATTGGTTAGGAAAGCACTGGAAGATAAGTCTCTGGAGAGCACAAGGATATTCAAAGCAGCAGAGAAATCAGAAAAGGCAAGGGCAGGGCCACCTCCTTTGAGGAGGTGCTTGAAAGGGCGGCAAAAGCCAAGAAGAAGTGACTCAGAACACAGCAAGAGACTGCACCCTGCCGAGGAAGGCAGCGGTACCTCTGGAAATGCAGAGAGGCCTGCTACGAGGGCAGTTACCCACAGCTTTCTGTTTCTCAAATTGCTCCTCTCCAACAGGAGGAAGAGGGAAACCTGATGCTACAAGCAAATAATGCTCTTTGCCTAGCCACCAATCATGGCACAAATTCTACAGCTTAAGTTGGTGGCACATGTTTGTGCTTGATGGGCAGCACAGAGCTCCCCAGTGGGTCGAGCACTCCTCCAGTTGCTGCCTTTGCAGCACAGCACTGTGGGCTGAAAGAAGCCCACAGTTCTGCCTACCCAGCTGTCCTCAAGTTGAACCATGTAGAGGAAATTATGGAGAGCTCAGATGCAGGAGATTGTGGAGCCATGCTGACTTCCTGAAGACAGGGAAATCCATATTACTAAGGGTAGAGCCAGCTTTGGAAAGATTGGTCCTGCAATGCTCCTATTGACGACTCAGAGAAGTGTCGCTTGCTGATGTTCTCGCTACCTGCTACCTGCTAGTTTTCCTAGTCAACAGCAGAGAGCTGGACAGAATTTCAGTGTGTGCTAGTGCTCCAGTCTGCTATGCAGGGGCTGAGCCAAGCCTCTCCAGCAAAGCTAGAGTGCTCCCACCACTCTCCTGATCCCTCCTTGGCTGTAGCTAAGACAGTTTCTTAAAGCCCTGTGTTGAAATGACTAGCGTTTCTTAGATTACAGAGTTGTCAGTTAAGAAGTAAAGCATTTCTACTCACACCTGCATGCCTGGGTGATTCTTCACCACTGTGTCTGAAGGTCTGCAAAAAAGGAGTCTCTCCCCAGTTTTCTCCATGACAGTGGCCTGAAACTGGCAGAAAACAAGTGTCACTGCTGTCTTCAAGGAGGGCAAGCAGGATGCAGGGAACTACAGGTGATAATGCTGAAACAACCTGCTACAGTACATGCCAGAAGCTGACTGACCAGCTGGAAAGCAACTTGGCAGAGAAGGCCCTGGAGGTCTCCTGGTGGAAGCCAAGAGGTAGCAGTGCACCCTTGGGGCAACAACGGCCAAGAGCCTTCTAGGCTGCATTAGGGAGAGTGCTGCCAGCAGGTGGAGGGAGGTGATCATTCCTCTCTCCTCGGCCCTGGTGAGGCCACCTCTGAAGTGCCATGTCCAGTTCTGGGCCACCCAGTACAAGAGAGACAGACATACTGGAGCAAGTGTTGCAAAGGGCCATAAAGAGGACGAAGAGGATGGAGAAACGGTCCTGGGAGGCTGGGGGTGGCTCTGCTCATGGTGAGAACTTCCAGATTCCTGGGGCCTGGCAGCTCCCGCAGTCACAGAGAGGCTTTGAATGGAGAGATGTCCCCAGATGGAGAGGCTGCTTTGTGAGCTGGAAGGTGATGCCACCATGGATAGGAGGAGGTCCCTTTGCAGGGGCTCTCCATGATGGGAGCTCTGACAGAAAGGAGGGAGCCAAGAGAGGGTTCAAGGCTTTTACTAGCAGCCCCCTGAAATTGAGGGGGGCCCCAAAATTGCACATAGGTGCCGAGTGCTTGGTGGCCTAGGTGCCCAAGGGCAGGTGCCTTAGGGGCAGGAACCAAGAGGCTCAGCAGGTCCAGAGCGGCCTGGTTACTGAGAGGTGCTAGCAGGGTGGGCGCAGCAGACGCCAAATTACCTCCTGGGGGGACATGGGGTTCAGGGTGGGGCCTGAGGGGAGCCCATCATCTGGGAGACCCCTCCACACTCCCACTCCAACATCCCTGGCCCCTGGCACCCCCGCCGCCTTTAGTGTCCCCCAGCTGCCCCCAGTGCTCCTCCGTGTCCCCTAACTCCTCTACTGCCCCCATGGCGTCCTCCAGCTTTCCCCTGATGTGCCCTAGCTGCCCCTACCTGCACCCAGCTGACCTCCAGCACCCTCCTCATGGCCCTCAAAGCTTTCTATGCCCTCTCATGGCCCTAGTTTCCCCTTAATGCTTCCTAGGTGCCCCACAAAGCACCATAGCTTCCCCCCTCATTCCCCTGACCCCCATCTTCTGCTCTCCCACCCCCCAATGCCCTCAATGCTCCCTAATGCCCCTCCAATGCCCCCCCAGATGCCCCCAGCTGCGCACCTTGCAGTCCTGGAGCAGGGGCTGCCTTCAGGGGAAGATGAGGGGCCACTGGTTTGGTGCGGGAGGCACTGCAGGTTGCTGGCATGGAAGGGCATGCAGCCCAGGAGCAGGGCATAGAGGATGACACTGACACTACAGGTGTCTGCCAGGAAGGGGTTGTATGGCTGTGTCTGCAGGATCTCGGGGCAGGTGTAGGTGTAGGACCCACAGAAGCTCTGGCTCAGCACGACCTTGGTGGGCAGCCTCGCATGTGGGGAAGCCCCAGGAGACTCCCCACTGGCTTTTCGTGCCACCCCCCCCCCCCGAAGAAGCTGGAAATGGAGACCTTCATGTTGTGTCCTTGCTGTCCAGGAGAAGGTTTTCCAGCTTCAGATCCCTGCAGGGGAGAGGCAGCACATGCTGGGGACAGGTCGGGGCAGATGACAGTTGTGGGGAGGAGGAGGTCAGGGGCCAAGGAGGGAGCTGTGGGTAGATGAGGGGCTAGGGACTCCTCTGGGAAGAGGAGGGCTTGGATTGGGAGCTGTGGGGCAGGTGGCCATGTGGAGGGAGTGTAGGTAAGAGTGCAATGTGGCAGGTGGACGTGTGGAGGCAAAGAGAGGCTTCCAGGTGGCCCTTCATTGCCTGGGCTGGGGGGAATCATCCTCTAGGCGGCATGGCCAGGGCTCTGCAGAGCCCTCGCTGCCTCAGGGAGCTCTGTCCCCACCTGTCAGAATGGGGACCCCATGCCCCCATGCTCACCGACGTGTGGACAATGACCCTGCTGCGCAGGTAGACCAGAGCGAGGAGGAGCTGGGAGAACCAGAGCCCTACCTGGCCCTGGGAGCAAGGTCTCTGGTGCTGCACCCACTCCAGGATGCTCCCCAAGAGGGCCAGCTCCATAAGAAGGTAGAAGCCTGTCTTCATCTCCATGCCTTGGTATATCATGATGAGGTACTTGTAGCACAAGCCCTTCAAGACCTGTGGGCAGAGCAGCTTGATGTGGGACAGGCCTGACCCCCTCTGGCTCTCCTTTGCCCTGCACCCCTGCCCCCTTTGCCCACCAATGCTCCCCTAACCTCTAGCAGACCCCACAAAGTGCCCACTGCATCTGCCATCCTCCTGGAGCTAACTTGTTGGGGTCTGCTGCAGGGGTTGGACCCTGATATGTCCTGGGCTGACAGGTTGGGCAGGTGGCAGCAAAGGGTTTTCTGGTGAAACCTCTTCCAGAGCTCTTTGGCAAACTTGGAAAACTAGAGTTTTCCTCTTTGGAGCACTCCTTGTTCTCAGCAAGCACACCCTTCACAACCCAGACTAGGCTGGAAATTGAGACTGTCACGAGGTGGGTGTCACTGCTGGTGTGCTTGCACTGGGTGTGCAGGGCTCCTGGTGGAAAAGGCTGCTGCTGAGCGGCTGGGGCAGCAGGATGCAATTCCTTTACCAGCACGTTCAGGATAATTAGGCCCAAACACCAGCTGCTTGGCACTGGGAGGAATTATGGGGTCAACTAGCAGCTTGGTGAAGCTGAGCTCCTCTGGGACCAGTTGCCAGAGGAACTGCAAGGAAAGCCAATCCAGAACGTGGTGTGACAACCTATGAGAGGGAACGGTGATAGCCATGAACTCTTCAAGCAAGTGGCTTTTTCCTGCTCACACTGGCACACTGTCATGCTCACAAGCACCCAGATGGTTGTGCTAGTGCTCCGGCCAGGGTCAGTGGTGCATGACATGGGAGAAGGACAACAGCAACCAGGGCCTCGCTCTGCTTCTGAGGAACCTCATGAGTGCCAAAGGCTGTCATGTCAATGATGATGATGATTAAGCACGCTGACAATAAGCTGTTGGACTGATCTTTTATAACAGTCCCAGGGAAATTTTTCCCATATACCATGCCAGGTTTGTTCACCTGATGCCTCTGAAAAGACTGTGCTCGTCCTGAAGCACCTCTGACACAGCACAGTGCCCCTCTTCACTCCCTGCTGATGGGCCACATCCCATCAGAGAGCGTGCCCTGTGCAGAGTGGCTGCGTAGGGCTGAGGACTCAGTCTGGGTTTCCCACAAGCCCCCAGTACACACCACAATGTAGGTTGTAGGCAAAAGCTTCACCTGCTGGAAGTCAGAGTGATCCTTACCGCCATCTTGGCTGAAGCGAAGGAGAGCTCTTGTATCTCTTGCAGCAGGTCAGCAGTCACCACCTTAAGCACGCTGATGATAAGCTTTTGGACTGACCTTAGGCCCTCGAGGCATCACAAGCCCTAACAGGGTGGCCTTTTGCCAGCAGGTCCTGCTCATTTCAGGTCCATGAACTTGCAGGTAGCTTGCTGCCCTCTGGTTGCTTTTCCCCAGGTTGAACATGTTTGAAGGCAATGCCTGCAGGCTGTTGGAGCTGTCCTCCTACGGCAAGGACGCAGGGCCACCTGCCTATGAGTTGTCTGAGTTGCCCCATGTGAGCAGGGAAGTGTCCTGGGACCCGTGCCCCAGGAACAGCCTTCTCCATTATCAGCAGGGGCACTGCTCTAGCTGTGCTGGGTCTTGCAGCGATCCCTCCT